AATATTACTGTTTTACTGTATTTAAATAAAAAAAGTACACAAAACCTTTTTTTATCCTTGACCTACACAAATAATTGACATACACAAATAATTTTCCAAATTTCATATCAAAGAAACCCATGAGATGCCTTTTTTTTAGTGGCCAGTAAGGAATGTAGATGGCATGTGTTGATAAGACAGTAAACAATAGGTGGCGGTACGGTACTACACCAGAAGAAAGTAATTCCTCTAAAGTTTTTGGTTGTCCAACATTTTCCTCTCAATAGCGAAACACGTGTTCGTATTGCAGTTGCAGTCAGTCACCATCACATCAACTAATTTCTAAGTGTAAATCTTATACAGTATCACTAAAATGTCGCTATCATTGTGTAGTTGTGCCGAACAAGTCAGAAAACTGACAGAGCAGGCATCAATAATGAGAAGAGAGATAAAAAATCTCAGGTAGGTCCTCAAATCAGCATGAATGTCGTATATGAGATATGATTATCCTGAAAATGTGATTCCTTTATTGGTTTTGTTGATCAAATAGACAGCAGATTGATGGATCCATACGAGCACATAAGAAGCAGTTGTCGTCTATTCAGTCCATGCTGACAGACTGTATGAAACATGATGACAGATTACCATCAGTGACCAAAAGCCCATCTCAGAGCCCGGGTGGAATTAAACAATTATTAGAACACGGTAAAATTAATCTCCTTTCACTTTAGATACAGCAGTTGACCTTTTTAGGCAGAACTTGTATTTGCTGCACTTTTCAGAATTGGATGAATAAACTGTCATAGATTATGTCAAAGAGTTTTTTTCAGTCCAGATGTTGTTGTTATAGAGTATTATAGAGGTTGTGGTCACACCGCCTTGTTTGTCATGTCATATAAAAATGTCTAAACCATATGTGTCTGTCTTTAACATCACAGGGCGTATTCAGACGGTACCTATTGGATATATCAACTCATGTTTTGCAGTCAAAACTGGCACTCCACGTCAACCCACAATATGCAGTTCTTCACGGGCCAGCTTGAAGATTGAACCATCCGTCTTCAATAACCCTGAACATTCTTTAGTTGGACTGGAACAATACTCCCATATCTGGTGTGTAGAAAATAGGTTTGCAGTGGTGTACTGGTCTTCATGGTATTCTAAGGTTTTAAAAAAAAATGCTTTTCTAGGATATTGACAAATAAATCTGGACAGAGAATTGCATTTGCCCATACACATCATCTTCTTTCCTCCTCGACTGCCTGTCAGATTTGCCAACTTTCATTACAGACAGAAATTAAGAAATTCATGCTGCTATAATAATCTGAACAAAATAGAATTTATATATATATAAATATATATATATATATATATGAAGAGTTCAGATGCAAAAGCCTCTAAGTGCCATTTGAAATTTTCTTCTAGAATGATCATTTTTATCAAGCTTGTATATTTAAGTTCAGTGATTTCACTTAAATGGCAATGATAATTACCTATTAATTGTTATTCAAGTGAAATTACTGAACTTAAATATACAAGTTTGATAAAAATCATCATTAAAGAAGAAAATTTCAAATGGCATTTAGAGGCTTTTGCATCTGAACTCTTCATATATACATACATACATACATTACTTTATATTATACTGCCATGTATGTTGTTTAAAAAACAACATAAACTTATTACATTTGATGTGCAGCTTTTTGTTTGTCACCGTGGCAAATCCACTTGACCAACTTCAACCCGTTGCTAAATCATAGTGGGGAAAACTTTCCTCCTCATTCAAAATTATATTATATACAAAATATTCCTGTTGAAATGACTGGATTTTGCTCACAAAAAAAATTACAGAACAACAGTAAATGTGACTTACTTTTTAGAACTAATTTATTTTGTTCAAATTGAAGATGTACATATCTTTTTAATTTCTTTTTTGAAAGGCAGACTTTTGTACACATACTTCCATTGAACATGGTTTCATTACGATGTTCAGCCAAATAACGTTCTTAAGCGTACATTTACTCTTATGATCTATTAAGCTTTTATAACAATAACAATTATTGTGTAATACTGTGTACTGTAAAACCATGATATTTTCTGGGACAGTTGCCATTCCATGAAAAGCTATACCATTGCAAGCCTATTTGCAAAATTATAATGTTCACCACCATGCTCAGAGCTTAGCTGGACGGTCTAGATAAATAGATAGAATAATTGAATTGAACTGCACTTTTTAAATAGCAATGCACTGTTTGAGATAATGATGGTCATTCAAAATCAAAAGTGAATGGGTTTAGCCGTTAGAAGTACATTTGATAATGTTTCTAAACAGGCCTGACAAGTGGCCAGACCTAATTAATGACAATTGAAAGTTAAGTACACATTTGTGTGAACTCTTTTCTCTTTTTCTTTGACATTCTCAGGATCATTTTCCTTTTCCATAAGAATGGGCAAATGAGCTATAAAGCCAAAGTAAAGCCGCCCCGACTGAATGGCCAGAGGGTGGGGGTGTACTCTACCCGCAGCCCCCACAGGCCCAATGCTTTGGGACTGACCTTGGCAAAGCTAGAAAGAATCACAGGTACCACAGTTTTACTGGACTTAATGAACTCTAGGACAGTGGTTCTCAACCTAGCAAACTTCCAAGGGGACAGCAAAATGACAACAAAATACAAATTAAAGTAGCCAAAACAACTAATTATCTAAAATTTGAGATATTATAATAAGTGTTTCCCATTTTAAATCACCTCTTGAAGAACCAGGGTTTCTTCAAGAGGTGATAAGTTATTTCTAGAACTGGAGAAGTTGTGTATATTAATAAATTATCTAAAAACTCCATGAGTGTTTTATGAATAGACATTTGCCTAATTATGCTTAGCTCAAAAAATATTTTGTCAGAAAGAATTTGAGTGAAAAAAAAAAAGTTCTTATCCTTAATCCTTATCCAGTAAATCAAGAACAACAGAAAAAGTCATGGGCATGGCCTTTAAATAATGTTTGGAACAATGAGGTTTGCCAAAAAAACTTGAGAACCACTCCTCTAAAAGATGTTTGTCATGTATGCAGTGTTATTTATGTACTATTATAGTATTTATTTAAGTTAGTTGACAAGGTGACATTTCTCAGTTTTATGTTTTTCACCTCATATTTATATTTTATTTTATTTTTCATTTCAATTTCAGTTTGAATTTATTTTTAATAGTTTTAGTTTTACAACAACTGTTAACTAACCAGTTGGTTGTTGTGTTTTTATTATAATTACTATTATTATTAAATTAACTTGGATAGATTCAATATATTGTGTAGAGATGTACTGCATTGTAAGATTTTTCAGAGGAAACAGTGACTTTTGATTTTCACTTTAGGCCTTTATCACCGTCAATCAAAGCTTTGATGAAAACGAACAATGAACGGGACAGCTAGTGTTGCATCAAGTTTGTCATAGTCAATATGATAGCCTATTTAATATGAGTAATCAGTTATCATTTGATTTTCAAGGGGATACACTTCACTTGTCAGGGGTTGATATTATCGCTGGAACACCTGTCCTGGACATCAAGCCATATATTCCAGACTATGATTCTCCCAAAACAAGAACAGATGATACCAACAGTGAATATAAACAAACATCATTCACAGACCCGATGGATCTAGATGATGAACCAGACACCTTAGAGACATCATCTGAACCTTCCTCGGAGCACAGTGTTTGTCCTGCCGCTGCTTCAGATTTCTCTTCTTCAGAAAGGTCTGGATCCAGTGATATACTTGAAGAAGTTAAAAACTATCTCAGACAGCAACAACTTTTCCCTGAGAATCCAGATGAAGACAAAAACACGGATACTCCTGAAGGCGCTGCAGTGGGTACAAACCCTTTAAGTTCGTCCAGTCTCAGATTTGGCCATGAGGACTACAGTACTATCGCTGCCTGGGTCAGGGCGCCTCCTGTCAGTAACCTAGATGTGCGATTTACTCCAATTGCTGAAAAAGAGCTCAAAGAGTTTCTTCCCTGCGACAGTACAGGTATTAGATCGTTCTTATACCTGAGTGGTTTTCTAATCAAGGCAATTATCATTTTTCTAATTGATTTCTTATTTACTAGACAGCACAAGACCAAAGTTCCAGTTCTTGAAAGGACCAGATGAAGCAGTGGCTGCTATCCACGGCATTCTGTCTGCTGACCCCAGATCAGTATATCGTCGCACACGTTGTCAAGACCGCCTGTTCTACTTTACCCTGGATACAGCTGACATCACCTGCTGGTTTGGAGATGGTTGTGCGGAGGTTGTGAGAGTCAAACCTGTGCAGAGTTCAGAACTCACAAATATTGTGTGAGTTTAGTCAGATTTACACTTTCAATGAAAATTACTTGTAGGATAGTTCACCCAAAAATGGAAATGTTGTCATCCTCAGTCAACATTTAAATGTTTTTTGTCCATATAATGAAAGTCAGTGTTTACCAAAACTGTTTGGTTACCAACATTCTTTAAAATATTTTAAGAAATACAGTCATGTATGTTTGGAGTGGCATGAAGGTGATGAAATGATGACAGAAATGTTCCGGTTATCTACCCTTTAATTTGTATAATAATAAATAAAAACAAAAGTGTATTTTGTGTGTGTGTGCGGTCGTGCGCACGTGCACTAATAGCAGCAGGAAGTGAATTAAATCTCAAACCAAACTGATGCAGCATCCTTGTCATTCATTTTTTTTTTTTTTTTTTAACTATATTAAATATTTAGATATTAGGTTTGTCTATATTAGATATTGTTGTGGTCCGCAGCATCGACTTTCTATAGATTAACATATTGTGCTCACCAAAAATGGTTTGAAACTATTACTAGAATTTCATAGTTAGACATAATAATATTTGTATGTTAATCATAGTTTGTGTTGTTTGTTGCATTTTAGAATTTGGTGAATATGTCTCCAGTGAAGTACTGTTTACAAAGTGTTGCAAATAAAATTGATTCTCATAGGAGGAGGATGGATCCAATGAGGAAATTGCTGTAGACAAAGACAAAATATAAAACCCGTTTATTTTAAAATAAGTTGTACAAACTAAACACAGATTATTTGTCATAGAGGTTAAAAGGAAAATATCTGGTTGTTTTGTATTTAAAAGTTCTCTTTTATAATCACCAGGGGGCACAAAAGTGCTATACTAGTCTAACACAATTTCATATTTTTATTTTATTAAAATCATTTGGACAGAGTATATTGATGAGTGGCTTATGTACACAGAAACATGAACACTTTTAATAAATATCCCCTTTTTTTTGTTTCAGGTTTTGAAATGCTTTGAGATAAAGTAAATATAGAAAATGCTTTATTTTACTATAGAAAATGGATACTCAGATAAGTACATTCTCAGATAGGCTTTGGCTGTCTGCTTGAGAAGGACCAGGTGGTGGGAGAAATGCTGGCATTGAGACTTCAATTTGTTCAGGCACATCAGCAAATGGCTGCTCACTATCACCTAAAAAACAACATTTGCATTGACAAATCAATATATAAAATGCTTCATTTTACAAATGAATAACCCAGTCGTGAATTCAGACCACTACTAAAAAACGTAGGGCCATTTCCCCAAATACCTGTATCAATGATAAGGCTTTTTTGAGGCATGTCGTCCTCCTCATCCGGCCCCAGATCCTCGATCAGAAACTCCTCGAGAGGTTTTTCACTGGCTGCTTCAACAGGCACCAGCTCTGGCTGTGGCTCAGCTGGTTGAATGGGCACTGTCTCTGCTGTAGTGGGTATTACAGGTACTGTGATGGGAAGTGTGAGAGGAGAAGGATCTGTTTCCTCAGGCAGACCAAGATCTTCAGGAATAATTATAGGCTGTTCTTTCCTTGGTCGACCTTTCCTTCCTGGGGTACTGCTGGTCCTCCTTTTCACTCTTTTAAGGCTTTGTGCCCTGCAGTCAATGTGAGGAAACGTTATTTGAGCGAAATCTCCAAATATGTGGATCTGCATCACAGTATCACAATGTGAGTTGAATTGGAAAATAAATAATTAATAGCCTTTCCCAGTGCTTTTATTGGCCTCATTCAATACTATCTTTACCCATAAACCCACTGGTTGGTTGCCTTTTCCTCTGCCTCGGCTTTTCGTTTCTTCAACAGGTCTCTGTCTCTCAGTCGCCGCCGAATTCCACCTACCAAACAAACAAATCACTCAGTCCTTTGCTGTTTTGCCTCCTGCAGGTTTTAGTTTACTAGTATCACCAACCAAAAGTATTCAGAAATCAGGTCATGAGCGTATAAAAGAGTTGCTCAATGCATGTTTCAGACTTATCGATGCATCGATGATCGGTATTTCATGTCAATTATTATGGTTCTACTCAAAACAGTTTTCTGTTCTTGATGTTGAATGTTTCATCTAAATCATTTTTTTTTTTTTTTTGAAAACTTAAACGGTCACTAATATACAATCTTAATGAATTGATAATGAACAAATTCAGGTCATCAAGCTGTTTAATTAAGTTATTCATTTTGAAGTTGTGATAGCCTATAAAAGTCATACCTTCATCAGAATCTTTGTCTTCTGACAGCAGAATCTCTTTCTCCAACATCTCTTCCATTTTGTTGTCCTGTCACATGAATATGAAGTATTGAAATGACAGGGCTGAAAAAAAATATGTGCCCATTTACTCTTCCTGCCGCTAAGAGAATAATTATCTGGTTAAACATTACCGTAGTGCTGGGAGAGTTCTTGCAGTTGTGCTCTTATCTTATTTGCAAAGGTGGAGGACTTGGCACAATACTCACAGAAGAAAGTAAAAAAAGGAGGTCATGATGCTGGCTGCCTGTGCACTTTTGTGACTGTTTGCCTGTCGTCATGAGAGATGACCGCTATTCTTGACTTGGTCAAGGGTCATAGACAAACATGTAGCTAAATGATCAATATAGGCCAAAACTAATAAAGATTCATTGATAGGTTTAAATTATTATACAGTAGATTGACTCAGACAAAAAATTGTATACTGTGAAAATCTATTTGTCATCTTGAAGAGACAACTTATAAGTAACTTTAATACAGTTGAGTTGAGCAAGGTTTTTCACTAAAGAGTCAAGACAAAAAAGTCCAAGACGGACGCCATGTGCTTCAGACTCTATATCGCAGCTAACAATTTTTGGAACATTTTGGGAAAGTTCCCCAAATATACATCCTAACATTCTCTATTTGCAACATTCAGAAAAGTTTTCTGAAGCTTATACTGTTCGGTTTAAGTTTTGAGAAAGTTCTCTTAACCTAACCTTCTACATATCAGTTTTCATGTCTTCTATTCCTTTAATCCGTTTATTGTTTTGTGAACATAAGTCATGGATCTCATAAAACAGGATGTTTTGGGATATTAAAAGAATCAAATTAGAATTTAAATGATGACATAGCCTATGGTTCATGAATCCACACACATAGTGTATTTTGAAGACATTTAAAAAAGAAAACCCATCCAGAATAAATCAATTTTGAAAGAGAAAACAACCATGCTGAAGGCATTTCTGTATTTCCATGTTATTTGAATACTCAAAAAGTATAAAGCTCATGCCCTCTCATTTTATCTCTGCTGCTCACTGGGTGTGTTACAATCAGTTCCAAACATATTGAGTTTTGCAGTCCCACCATTTAGATACTGTGCATGACTTCTCCAGGAACAACTTTGAGATTAATTAAATAAAAATTGACATACAGTTGACAATTCATCATTTATATTAAAATGATTTAACATTTATTTACTGTATAAATTCATTACACTTTGTGCAACAAATTACTTTCCCCTAGCACTTTGTTGCATGCCATTAAAATTAAATACTTGATTTTCTTCTCTCCCACTGGTATAATGTGGTTACCTCCACCATCATAAAAAAAACACAGCAACAGTGAACAGCATTTTAATAAGACGCCTTCAGAACATCAGAAGCCTCTGTGAGTGGGATATTGCATTATTCTTCATGAAAAGCCTACAGTTCGTTGTAGAATAAAATATATTTTTTTAAAGACGTCAGTGGTCAGAGGCCATGGAAGGTGTTTGACTACTATACTGAAACTGGTCTTGTTTTGCAGTTTATTTTGGGTTGTTGTCATCCTAGAACACTGAAATATCATTTCAAAAGTGATTGCACCACATGCATGCACCGAGTACAAAACAGCCTCATATTCTTTTGCCATTGTGCAACAGGGCAATAATTGGTCTGAATGATATCAATAAGATGGCTGACCCTACAAATCTCCTAGTATATTGACATTGAGTGCTTGTTAAAACTGGGTCAGGGGTTTTCATATTTCTGACCAACTACCCTGCAAGGAAACTGAAACTCTTTGTAAAAAGTTTGTTCATGGCTAATGAAGTCATTATTTGTTGTGAACAATGGAGTTGCGACTGTCTGTGGCCTCTTTGTTCCTTGCTGCCTTGTGTGCTTATAGCTTGCTTATAGGACTGCTTTTTTATTTTAAGTATGACATTCATTTGCATATATGTTTTTGTTATTTAGTTACCCTTGGTTTCACTTAATTTTTGTCACAATGTAGACGCAAAATGATGCCCTCTCCTGGCAAGATCCTAGCAAGTGAACTTGTTGAACAGCAAACAATATGTATAACCTTAATATTCAAATAGAAAAAAAAAGACAAAAATATTTTAATTTTGGAATATATTGTATAAATGATATCACCCCAATTAAAAAAAGCATACTGTTTTGAGCCATATTACTAGTAACACACACAGATTGCTGTTTCTCTGCAATAGAAGCATTAATTTAGAATAATTTAAGTTGGTGTATAGTCAAGTGATTTGCTTACCAGACACTGTTACATTTGACAATATTTGGAAACAAAATAATATCTATAATAACACAATTTCTTTAGTGAAACGTTTGATATGCATTTAGGATTTAAGATCTTGATGTCTTTTTTGCACATATTGAAAAATAAAATAGCTATCAAATTGGCTGTCTGAGCTAGAATAACTAGCTTGATGTAACAAGGAAAATAAAATGTTAATGTTTACACGTTTTAATGCAGATATGCCATAAACAATAAGGCCATTTTGTCCCAGACAAACAGGGTTCTGCTTCTTTCCCCAAGATGATGCATGTATTATATTCAAAAGCCATAATAAACAACGTTTATTGATACGACAATAAATGACATACGAAATATGTGGAACCTTTCCAACCCATTTTACTGTAAGTACAAAATGTTAACAAACTTCTCATGTCACATAGGCTACTGTAATGCAGCACTGCTGTCGTTGATCTTGTTTGTGTGGCTGCAGTGCGCGTCGTTGGCCAGAGATGGCGCTATTGAGTATATATTTGTTTCATTGCCGTTTCCCTCCATGGTTTCTGCTCTCCCAGAGTAACTTGGCGCTGGGCTCAGATCATTATACAGTCCCATATTCTCCCTCCATTAAGGCATCTTTCTACCTTTTGGGCTGAACAGAAATTCCTCCAGAACCCAAGAGGGAAGAGTCCAACTTTTGAGGGCGATATGGACATGAAAAAGAGGATTCATTTGGAGCTGAGGAACAGGACACCATCTGATGTGAGTAATTTTGAGCCAAACCTTTAGTTCTGTGTCCAGCCATGCTAGCCGGGCTACTTTCTACTTCAACTGATCTATGTGTAGTGGTTTAATGGTAAGCACATGGGTGTAATACCCCCGGCACAGAGAAAGTAACGTAGCTACTGCGTGGATAGATTCACAGCATTAATTTGTCCATCCGTCTTGTTTTGATATGAAAGGATCCTGACTGTGTAAGCTATTCCGAGTAACGTTAGTTTAGAAAGCTGAAGGCATTATTGCAGCATTTTATGCCCCCCATGCTGGATGTGTGTATTATGATCTAGCATGCTTTTATGCTTAATATTTACTCGGTTTAACATCGGCGTGGTACGATATGGATGGGATGGTTTATTTCACCGTGGTGGCCATGTTTGTTGCTAACATGAGGCGCCCTTTATCACAACCACTTAAAGGCTAAAGTAATAAACCAGATATATCTGAAGATAACCATACACTAACACACTTTCTTAAAAACAGTCATATGTTGGCCTCCATCACACTAAAACAAAGGTCTTCCTTTCCTACGATGTTCAGGAAGAGTAATAATACCACCGGTTCAATAAGTAAATATGTAATTTGATGAACATACAGTCGCATTATGAATTTTCTTTTTAAGGGCACCGAGGCTTGTTGATTATATGAATAAAGTGATATTTTATTTAAAAAAAAAGTTTTTTTTAAATAAACTGCAAAGAGATTATCAAAAGTAGTCTTTAACTATCTATTATTGATACATGTATTTGTTATTAATTAGATGGTGTTGTGTTTTATTCGTTAAATTGTTACTCGCTGCTGCGAGACACAGATTCCCGCCATTACTCCCCACGCGCCTCTAACGTTAACGTTGCCGATTAAACTAACACGTATACACAATAAATATTCGCGCTGGTGATTTTAAAACATAAAGATATAGTAAGTAGCACGACGTCTGCAACGAAGGAACGGAGCGACTAAGAGAAGAAGCTAACGTTACATGTGCTAGTTTAGGACAACGCGGTGGAAATGTGTAAATCCAGTTATAAAATTAATTGAACATCGCGTAAAATATGATCATGTAATCCAAGTAACCGCATAGAATCAAGTTTTCGAGCGCAGAGTTTGAGTTTTGTTTAATATGGAGAGTTTTCCTGTCAATGTAGTGCATCTGAGGAGACGCCATGTTGTCATGAGAGAAAGAAACTCTCCATTTTTGTCTCACTAATTTCCGCTCTGTCTTCGTCTTTCGCAGCAGGAATACGCCATCGACATATCGCTTCCATCTTACACAGGGGCTTAAGTACCCTCCATTTGCAGTTTGTCACACACAATTTCACTAAAAATACGGTGGTGTCTTTCGGATATGTCCATGTTGTCTGGCTGTCGGCGTGTAATCTGCTGTTTTCTCATTGGTGACTCGCTGCGACAGTGAGCCATCGGGCCACAACAGCAACAGCTTAAACAGTGTTCAATGATTTTCACGTTAGATTCTTTTCTAAAATCTAAATAAACATATACATAAACATAAGGCAACGCAAAACGCCAAACCACGCTGTAAATACAAGTTGTTTACAAAACATGTTTTTTATTTTATTTTTTTCAGTTGAGAAACTTTTTGAGAAAGTTGAGAAAACCAGCATAGTTTGTCGCCTCCATTGAGCATGTCCATGTTAGCCAGCGTGTCCCAACACCCCTCTTTGATAAAATTAGTTGCAATTTCATGTTATGGTAGTTGAACCTTATTAACACGCTCTTATGTTGTATCCTTCTAGGTACGAGAACTTGTCCTTGACAACTGCAGATCAAATGAAGGGAAAATTGAAGGCCTCACAGCAGAATTTGTTAATCTTGAATTTCTAAGTTTGATAAATGTTGGTCTTCTCTCAGTTTCCAACCTTCCCAAACTTGGAAAACTTAAAAAGGTAATATCACACTGTTTATTTAACTCTATAGTACAATGTTATTGAATTTGTGCTCTGACATGTGTATATATATGTTTATTTTCATTTTCAGTTGGAACTCAGTGACAACAGAATTTCTGGTGGCCTTGATGTTTTAGCTGAAAAACTCCCCAATCTCACACATCTAAACCTAAGTGGCAACAAACTAAAAGACATCAGCACATTGGAACCTTTGGTTTGTACAGACT